TGCTCTTAACAGAGTTCTTATATGAAAGGGTCACAGGCCCATGTTACCAGATGCTCCACGGCATCACAAATTCTGAAAAGTGGGAGAGAAGAGGAGGTCAGAAGCATGAGATGTGCCACGTGGTAAGGACTCAGTCCACTGTCGCTGGCTTTGAAGAAGGAGCACAGAGGACACAAAAGAGAAATGCTGCTGGCTTCTAAACACTGGGAAAGGAGGTGGATTATCCCCTAGAGCAGTGGTTCTCAATCTTCCTAATGCCGTGACCCTTTAATACAGTTCCTCATGTTGTGGTGACCCCCAACCATAAAATTATTTTCGTGGCTACTTCATAACTGTAATTTTGCTACTGTTAATGAATCGTCATGTAAATATCTTGGTTTTCTGGTGGTCTTAGGTTGAGAACCGCTAGCAGGGTCGCCTAAGACCATCAGAAAACACAGGTATTTACGTTACGATTTACAACAGTAGCAAAATTACAGTTATGAAGGAGCAACGAAAATAAATGTATGGCTGGGGGCCACCACAACATGAGGAACTGTATTAAAGGACTGCAGCATTAGAAAGGTTGAGAACCACTGCCCTGCCCACACATTTATGGTAGCCAGAATGAGAATACAGCCCTGCCCACACATTTATGGTAGCCAGAATGAGACCCACGTTGAACTCCAACCTACTAAGTGTGTGGTGATTTTTTTTTTTTTTACAGCAGCAATAGAATACAACCTGGTATTGTGTTTGAACCAACAATTCTAAAACAAACTTATTTCACATTTTTTGAACAGCCAAAAGTTCCTGCCTCAGAGAAGCCATGGTGTGCGCGAGGAGGGGCCCATGCAGGCTCCAAGTCTTCCTGTCCCTTTCCTGAGGTGTGCCAGCAAACTGTAGACATGGGAGTGGCCAGCAATAAAGGGAATGTGATGACTTGCCTTATAATACAGTATATGTTTCATAGAGAATTAAAATTATTGCCACTCTGTTCTTACAGCAATTCTTAGAAGCTCCTTCGTTATTAGGAGGACAACAATTCTGGAGATCGTCATCCATACCTGCGCACCTGTGTCATGTACATAAATTAGAAGATGGTCTTACTTTTTGCAGAAAATGCCTAATTCATGTAATTTAGCTTTCGTACAGCCAAGCTTTTTTCTTTTTCTTAACTAAGTTTTGAGTGTAGAAACCTCAGGTGTTAACATACTAATCAGCCTTTGTGTCAAAGTTACCCAGATTCTTTATTTATTCTCTTTAATACTTGTCTTTGGGTCGTGCACACTTCTCATAGTGTAGCATTGCTTAGCCTCCCCCCAAAATCAGCATCATAAGTATGGTGGGAATAAAACAACTGAGAATGGTACTTTGTTATCTGCTTCCATGTATAAGCTCCTTAAGGGTAGGGGTTGGTGTGTTTTTTTAATAACAGAGTTTTGTTTTTTTTAATTGATTTTAGAGAGAAGAAGGGAAAGGGAGGATGAGAGAGAGAGAGAGAGAGAGAGAGAGAGAGAGAGAGAGAGAGAGAGAGAGAGAGAACATCGATGAGATAAAGGCATTGGTTAGTTGCTTCTCATATGCACCCCAACTAAGGACAGAACGGGCAACCTGGCATGTGCCCTGACTGGGAATTGAACTGGTGGCCTTTTAATGCACTGTATGAAGTTCAATCAACTGAGCCACATAGGCCAGGGCGGGGGTTGGTTCTTATTGATTGTCTTAGCCCTAGCACCAAGCACAATGCCTAACACACAGTAAGGTATTCAATAAATATTTGTTGAACGGACGCCAACTACAAACTTTTTTTGAACAAGGCAATAACAAGGAATATCTTGAACTTAGCACTGCATGGTTTACTTTAATGGATGTTTCATTTTTTTTTCTCAATGCCATAGCACTGTTTTGTAGACTACTGAACTTGAAGCCAGTCGCTTGCCAAAAGGTCACAAAAAAAAAAAAAAAAAAAAAAAACAACTATGCAAAGAAATGGGAAATGCTGCTTCCGGTTCAGTGCTGCCCACTCCTGTTTCCTAAAATATACATTCCTTGAAAAGGATTAAGGCAAGTTTTTAAAGAGGCCAGCAGTCAGGAAAAATTAACTTGATCCCTACTGAAAGTATGAAGGGAATGTTTTCTTCAAAATAATATCACAGCCCTGCCAGCATGACTCAGTGGTTGAGCATTGACCTATGAATCTGGGAGTCACAGTTTTAGCCCCCGGTTTGATGCCTGGATTGCGGGCTCCATCCCCTGTGGAGGGAGGCAGCCAATCAATGACTCTCTCAACACTGATGTTTCTATCTCTCTCTCCCTCTCCCTTCCTCTCTGGAATCACTAAAAATGTATTTTAAAAATATATAATGTCACAGTGAAAGACCATGCCCCACAATTCCTTTTAAAAAGAAAAAATATTTTCTAGTATAATCACTTTGTGAATACTTCTCTTTTTCAAATGCTGCTTACTTTGTTTTCTTCAGAGACCAGGAAAATTCTCAGCCAATTGGTTAGAACTTTGACCTATCCACCAGGATAGAGTATCCCCAAACTATAAAACTAGATCTGATCTTGTATTTATACCAAAGTCACCAATACTCTTTGTGGGGTTTTGCCTCTCTTCTGTTGACCCTGTGAAATTTCTCCTGAGAGCTGAATGGCAATTGGAATGGCAGTTTACTTATTAAGAGTCCCTAAGGGTGAGAGAGGTGGTGTGGTTATGATTTACTCTGAAACATGCATTCATCTCAAAGTTCCACAGTGCATAGGGACATTATTTTCAAATCACTCAAACACCTGATTTTGAGGAGTCACTTGTGCTTGGTGTGGGGCTGTGTAGAAGAAGATGCAGTATTGGGAGGGCCACACAGAGGGGAGCCAGGGTCTCATGGTAGCTTTGGATACTCCAGTGAGGCAACCCTAATGTGTTTGTAAATTCCTTGCTGCCTGCTTGTGATAGGTGACACTTGGGATTTGCATAAATCTCTTTTCCCATCAGTCTTCCCACAGTACATGAATTCTGCTTTCCTAATTCCTGAAAAGCAACCAGCAGTTTTAAACCATGTTGCTATCCAACTCCAATTGTATTTCAGATGATTTGATTAGAGACTACAAAAGAACTACTTTCAACAAAAGCTCCTTAGAGTGGAACACAAACAGTTGTGAAGTGGGCATGCAGCCCTTTCTCTGAGCTCACAGCTTCAGAGGGAAGTCTGTACCGAAGAGGAAGCTGCCACACACTGACTCCCACCCCCAGCCCTCCTTATGCATCTGCCCGAAGAGGTTTAGATGTGCAGTGGCTTTCCTGTAACCGAGTCTGAGTTGCACATCCCAGCTTTCAAAGTCTCATAAGAAAGGGCAGGGATATTTGTTTAACGAAGATGTAAACAGAAAAACAGCAACCTCAACTCCATATTAAAATCATCTTAAGATAATCCCTGTAACAGAGGCACATATATAAAATCATAGTCATTAGATTCTTACCCTTCAGTGAGATTGTTCTTTTTATTTAAATTAATATGAAGCATATTGTGATGTGCAAATGCGGAGGGTGACTTGACATTTGAACGACGATTGGGTAGTTCTGGGGTATTTGCATCGACTTTCTGATTTATACCATCTTAAAGTGTAGATGTTTCCACTTCGGATGGCACCTGAGAGCATTTTTTTTTCTCTGTTCCAGGAAAACAATCAACAATGTTTACTAAAACTGAGCTTTTATGCCTAAAAATTAAAGTACTCAAATCCATGTAGAATGCAGACTACATAATTTTATGCTTTGCAAGGAACACATGCTTATTCTAGAGACAAAAAAAAAAGCACAAGAGTGCCTCCACCATCCCCTTGTGAAGTCATTGCAGTGGTCGAGGTGTTTTTCCCTCCTTAACCACTTACTTCTAAGAAGCAATGTGTAGCTTTCTGCCCCAGGTCGTGCTTTTAAGGAAATGGTGTGGAGAAGGTGATGCACTAGCAGCTGTCCGTGTCTGTAGCCACTGTCCTCACCTCCGTGGATGACTCAGCAGACTCCGGAGCAGACGCTTGCTGCCGTACTAGAATAGGGACTTGAGTCTCTGATCTAGATAATTTTAGATACTTTGATTTCATTATAGAAATTCCTAAACTCCTTGTGGGATAAAACAAATGTTAAGACCATATTGAGTTTCAAGCTGAATTAGCAGAAAAGATAAAATGCCTTCCTATTTAAGAACATGATGATGTTTTAATTGTTACAGCATTTGGCATGCCTAATGTACACAGTCCTTGACATTCATATAATAACAAAAGAAAGTTGTTTGGGATTTTTATTTCCTAGTGTCCCCTTTCCCCTCTCGTATTTCTCCCGCCCCCGCCCCAGCCCTGGCTTTCCGCTCTCCTCCCGTTTCCCCATCCTTCTATGAAGAAAAGCTCTGAGTGTGGAGGGGATGCCTGTGAAAATATCTCGTTCTACGTAGAGAGACGGAGGCTGCTTATTACCTAGCGATGATGAGCAGACCACCAGCGTTGTGACAACCGATGCAGATGCCTCCGGGGTAAAACAAAGGTTTACATATTACACAAGCAATTTAACTGTTTTCTAAACATATTGCCAAGACAGTGGGAGTTGGCAGCCCACACTGTGTTTTAGGTTTTGGAGACTTGGATTAGAAGTGACTGCTGATTATGAACCTTTTTATTTGTCTTCCGTGCACAAGCAACATGGTAACCCGGCAGAGAATTCTTCCCGGCACTTAACCTTGTCTTCCTAGCTTCCCGAGATCACAGGCACAAATCACTCGACAAAAGTAATGCGAGGGTCTTGTGCATAGATAACCACGCGCGACAACTTGCCCTGACCCTGAAAGAGTTCCGCAAAGTGAAATGTTTTATAATCCCTCTCTGTGCAGTAGGCAAGGAAGAAAAGAAAAGAGTTTGGGCAAAGATTATCCAAAAGGAAGAAAGAGACTCATTCGGGGGTTCCCGTTGAAACACAATAAAGAACATAATTAACTTTGCGATTCTTTGTGTTTTTCATTTGACTGCAGGGAGGAGATGAAAGAGGACTGCTAAGCCTTGCATTCCACCCCAATTACAAGAAAAACGGAAAGCTGTATGTGTCTTACACCACCAACCAAGAACGCTGGGCCATGGGGCCGCATGACCACATTCTTCGGGTTGTGGAATACACGGTGTCCAGGTATCACTGAAGTGCACGGAGGCATACATACTTTTCCATCTTCTTTTCTCTGTATCTCTTTATCCTTTTTGTTTCGAAGTTACAAAGAGATAGCCACACAGTGGCAATAATTAAAACCCACAATCTCCATCTTGCTTAAACCCTCATGCCTGTCTTTATAGAAAACTGGAAACACACACACACACACACACACACACACAACGGTAGCTTGGGCACTTTTCCTCAATTATCTTGCAATCTAAATGCTACTTGAGAGGGTTGGAAAATAACGTAATTTTTTGGTGGTTTTTATTAGCCCCATTTCAAGTCTGTGATTCCTTATTTACAGGCCAGGTGTCTGCTTCCCTAGGTGTGTACTCGTTACTTTCCAGCGGCTTCGCCTTCCCGCGCTCACAGTCGTGGTCTTGTTTCTGCCCGCAATGCAGGAAAAACCCCCACCAGGTGGACCTGAGGACCGCCAGGGTCTTTCTTGAAGTCGCAGAGCTGCACAGGAAGCACCTGGGGGGACAGCTGCTCTTCGGCCCCCACGGCCTGCTGTACATCATCCTCGGGGACGGGATGATCACGCTGGATGATATGGAAGAGATGGATGGGTTAAGGTAAAAAAAAAAAAAAAAAAAGTCAGGTTCCCACTTGATGTGAAAGTGCCAGGGAGTGAAAAGCAGTCTGTGAGTTGTGTCCCCCGGGTTAAACGTTTAACTTGGTTTTCATGCTTGCACTGGGGATGTGAAGAGGCATTCAGTAGCATGTGATGTGATATTTTTGAAAGTCGCTGCACTTTGATGACCTAACGTAACGTAAGGCTATGCTGACATCCTTATCTGAGCCAGTATTTAGCATTCTCTTCTATCCATGCACGAAGCAGAGTGAGAAGGCAGAGACGCAAACAGCGCCTCTTCTCTGCGTGTCCACACTGCTGCCACCACCCTGCAGAATGGAGTTTCTTGCAGAACACAGACTAGATGGGTCAGCAAAAAAAAAAAATAAGAGGACAGGCACAAACAGCATCCCCCTCCCGGGGGTGCAGCCTGTGGCCACTTGTCTGAAAGCAGACCGCCCCTCGCTTTATTTCCCACCGTATGGAATTGGGAACTGGAATGATTTGGTCTCAAAACAGGGGCATGGCCTGTAGAGCAACCTCTCTGCATTTGGTTTTGGTGAGATATATAATAAAAACGAAAACACTCATGTTATCCTCCTGTTTCCCAGTGACTTCACAGGATCTGTCCTCCGGCTGGACGTGGACACAGACATGTGCAACGTGCCTTATTCCATCCCCAGGAGCAACCCGCACTTCAACAGCACCAACCAGCCCCCCGAAGTGTTTGCCCACGGCCTCCACGATCCAGGCAGGTGAGAGCACCCGCCGGCTCCTGAGAAAGGAGAAAAGACAGACAGACAGACAGATGGGTCCAGACCCAGAGCAGCAGGAGTGGTGCTCAAGGCTGTGCCACTAAAATCACACAGGCTCACTATCCACACCAGTAGTTAGCACTGTCCTCTGTGAATGCACGAAGCAGATTTAGGAGGCTGATGAGACATGAAAAAGGACAAATTTCATGGAGAAAAATTGCCTTCACGTTTTGGAGGGCTATTATTAGAGAAGCATGGTGGGCCAGTGCCATGACTCAAACTCCCATCTGAATAATCAGAGAGATAATAAACCTCTTGTCTCCTTAAGTCCGTCTACACCATGCTTTCCTTGCATATTAAATGGGGGTGGTAAGCGCTACCTTGCAAGGATGCTGCAATGATTAAAAGCGTGCAGCTACAAGCAAGTCATGAAATAGGGTCTGACACACACATGGTAAATTTTAAATAAATTATAGTTCTCACTTTCATGGCTTCAGTTAATATACATATGATGATACAGTACCCACTAATAAGGAATTGACTAAACATTAGCATTCTTTTCCTTGAAAAAAAATTGCAAATACTAAAGGAATGCTAAATGAAATACTGACCACTTACTAGAATGAACCATAAAGAAAGGAACTCTAAAGAAGAATGTAGAGTGAAAAGCTTGGAACACACTTTTAAAAAGCGATGAAGTCTACTAACGTAATTCTGTGAGGAAAGCTTCACCCGATCCGTGATCTGCTGGTCGTACCAAGGGCCGTCGGGCCACGCTGACTCCTTTATTGGCCACAGAATTATTGCTATTTAATGTTTATGGAGTGTTCACTGTGTGCAAGGTGAGCAGTTTTCGAACTTTTTAGTTTTATAATCCCTCGTGCCCTTCATCTCCCCTCCATCAAAGTCCACGTCTACAGTTCATTTCCTTTTTGGCATCTCAGCAGATCTTTAAAATCTGGGCGACAGGGAATACTTAAGGTGGGTTCAGGATGTGGAGGAAGCTGTCACATTCCATTCCCGCAGCTCAGCTCTCGCAGATACCACCACAGAGCAGCAGCACTTTGAAGTCCAGCGGCCTGAGTCACCACAGTCCCGCCGGCGCTCTCGGGCGCCCTTCCCGGGGGTCCCGGACCCTCCATGTAAAAACACCGTGGGGGGCACGTTACAGGCCTGACGTAGGGCCGGGCGCCTGGGCTGCGGTGCCCCCTCCGGCCCCCGGCGGACGGCTGGAGACACACGCATGCCTCCCGCCAAGGCTATGTTGGAACATTTAATAAAGCAGAAAGGAAACTAAATCATTATTATTGGCTAGACATGAAGCTGACTTTTAGGAAGCACCTGGGTGCAGAATACTGAGCTCAGTATCTTATGCTCCTTATCTCCTTATGCCTCTCGGGGTGCTCCGAGGTAGCTGGCATCAAGCCCCTCTCCCCCTTTTTTTGAAGACTTTAAACTCTTTTTTTTTTTTTTTTTTTTTTTTTAGTAGTTTTACTAGTAAGTTCACCACAAAATTGATTGGAATGTAGAGAGATCCCCCGTAAACCCCTTGCTGCTACACATGCAGAGCCTCCCCCGCTATTGCCAACCCCACCAGAGTGATCCATTTGTGACAGCAGAAGAGCCTGCATCAACTCATCACAGTCCCACCAAGTCCACAGTTTGCATTAGGGTCCACTCAGTGTCACACCTTGTATGGGTTTGGACAAATGTATAACACGTACCTGCCTTTACAGTATCAGACAGAGAAGCTTCACTCTCAGCCTCTCCTTTACATAAGAAACTAAAGGTTCGAAGAGGCAAGTGCGTCTCAGTGGATCTAGTATTCAGCCAGAGTAAAAGCCTCATGCTCCCCCCCACACCCCCCACAACAAGACCATTGGGAGACCTGGACTTTTCTTCCAGATTTGCTCTCTCTTACCAGAAAGAGGGCACACCTTTTTGTTGTTATGTGATGGTTTCATCTGAAAAAGAAAAGCAATATAGGAGCATTAGCTCACCCTGTGTGGATTTAGTTCCACCTTCAGTCACAGCATGTGGATGTCATGATCCCTGCTAGGCATTGTATTCTGTGAGTCCTTGGTTTAAAGAGGACAATTAAGAGACTGTTGTCCCAGAACAGGTCAGGCTTATGGTTTCCCTAAGATGGATGGAGCATTTGGAGGCAACCAGTTTCTGTTTTGTTGTTTTTCAAATAATTGCAACATGTTGCCCAAGACCCAGAACCTACTCTCAGATTGTTTTATTTCTTAATTTATTGATTTCCCAAAGGGTTTTTGTTTTTAAATGTGTATACCTATATATTTTTGCCTAAAACAGAGATTTTTAGAGGATGATTTGGCAATGTCTAGAAACATTTTGGGTTTTTACAACTTTATAGGAAGGAATAATGCTACTGACATATAGCAGGTAGAGGCCAGAGATGCTGCTAAAAGTCCTACAATACCCAGGACAGCACCCCACCCACCATGACCACCATTACCACCACCCACCAAAGTGTATGACAAAGTTTGGGAAACCTAAAAACAATGCAACACCATCTTCCACATTTGAAGGAACTTCAAAATTATAGTATTCAACTTTATTCTCCCTCAACCCAACTCCTCATGCCTAATTCCTCATTGACCTAACCGTTGAACAAATATCCCCAGGTTGGAACTAAGAAATACAGAGATGAGGTGGAAGTGGCTCCTGTCCTCGTGGAGTTTATAGTCAGTGACTTAAGTCACAGAAATATTCTGGCCCTGAACATGAAGACTACAGTCCACTGAAAGACCTCAATGGTTGTGGGACCAGCTTTATTGTGTTCCCTAAATTGGAGTGCACACTTTCCTTTGGTAGAGCAGCCCAAGTTTTAGAATGTAAGGGGTTCCATAGAAGACACACAAAACTAATACAACAACTAATTTTATATTGTGTGTTGCCAGTGTGGGCTGTTGCTGAGTCTTATACTTACTAGTTTATTGTACATGTGATATCCTATCTAATAAAAGAGTAATATGCAAATTACTGTCACTCCAATACAGAAGATGGCCTCCCCGATGTGGTCAAATATGGCTGCCCCCATGTGGACACAAAATGGCCTGCAGGGGAGGGCAGTTGTGAGCTGTTAGGGCAGTTGTGAGCTGTTAGGCCAGCAGAGGAGGGCAGTTGGGCATGACCAGGCTAGCAGAAGAGGGCAGTTGGGGGGGAAGGGGAGGACCCAGGCCTGCAGGGGAGAGAAGTTGGATGAGGGCAGGCCTGCAGGGGAGGGCAGTTAGGGGTGACCAGGCCAGTACAGGAGGGCAGTTGGGGGTGACCAGGCCTGCAGGGAAGGAAAGTTAGGGGCAGTCAGGCAGAGGCAGGCAAGCAGTTAGGAGCTAGCAGTCCTGGATTGTGAGAGGGATGTCTGACCACCCATCAGACGTCCCTCAATGGGTCCCAGATTGGGGAAGATGCAGGATGGGCTAAGAACCACCCCCCCCCCACCCTCATGCACGAATTTCAAGGCCTCTAGTTACTTAATAACAGATTAGCAAGTGTTTAAAGTCAGTGTGCACATTCACAGTGTAAGGAGATACCCAGAGAAATTAAAAACTCTTCTCTAGAGATCATTTAAGATTCAGCAGATTCACAAACATATCAGGATGTTTCCTTCAGCCTCTTCTAGCGGATCCAAACCAAGTAGCCCAAAGGACCTGCCAGCCCACAAAGACCTCAGTGTCAGAACTCTCCAGTCTGAGCTTGGAAGACACAGATAGGAATTCATGGGTGTCCCCTTTTGTTACACAGATGTGCCGTGGATCGACATCCCACTGACATCAACATCAATTTAACAATACTGTGTTCAGACTCCAATGGAAAGAACAGGTCATCAGCCAGACTCCTACAGATAATAAAGGGGAAAGATTATGGTGAGTATAGCATCCTTTATTGCTTTTGGTTTAGTTTGGTTTTATCTTATTTTAGTATATTAATTGAAGAGAAAAGGATTTCTGCAGAATGAGCACTGGGAAAGCATGAAAACACTGGCCTAACAGTGGTGAAGGAGTAAATTGCTCACTTTTTAAAGATCCAGGAACTCTTATAAGCCCCCGGGGTTCCATTGGGGTAATTACCTTTCCCACAGATTAAATGGTGCTCGGTAAATCCAAAAAAAATGTAATGGACCTTCAAAAGTTAGCAGTTTATATTTTGCTCATCTGAGAATCAAGATGAATAACTTCTATTTATGTAATATACAAGGGGAACTTGTCTTAACATCTTATATACAGAGCAAAAAACAAGTGTTAAGTGTAAGGAATTTTTCAATAACCAGCATGCTGGTCTTAGCAATTAGGAAAATTATAAGTGTTTCAAATAAGAATGTAATTTTTTTAATGTGTTTATTTTAGGGAAAACAAGGTAATATCCTTGCAAAGGCATATCATGGAAATGGGATGTTTAGACATTATTTTTAATAATGTGACTACTAGAGTTATTTAGAGATACATATAAAATATAAAATTTTATAATATGAAGTCAAAGATACTTAACATCTTTTAATGTTTTAGTATTTATCCCTTTTGGAGAAAGCAACATATCCAATATTATGATTTAAGAAACACAGTAGATTATTAAATTGATTGCTTCTTCTATTTACTCATTAAATACAGATATTTATTCAGTACCAAGAATGAAGCAGCTGTGTTAGTTCATGTGGTATTCAGTTATTTTACTTTATTTTTTTTTTCAGGTATTCATGTATGTGTGTGTGTATGCATCTTACAAAAGCCAAACCAAAGACTGTGTGGTTTGGGGGGAAAAAAACATAATGAGTCACTAGCTTGATGGAATTCCAGCTATATTTGTAAATTAAGCTGAATTCTACAAGCACATTATTTTGGGTTCAGCTGAAAATAATTACAATACTGGCAGCCCTATGTTTATGTATTAAAAATACATCCACTGACTCTTTTCCCAATGTATACATATATCAAATCACCACGATATTCACTTAAAATATCCTATAATTTATGACCTAGCCAGTTTGGTTCAGTGGAAAGAGTGTCAGCCTATACACTGAAGGGCCCTAGGTTCAATTCCAGTCAAGGGCATGTAACTCAGTTGCAGGCTCAATGCCCTGCCCTGGGTGGGACATGTGCAAAGGCAACCAATGGATGTGTCTCTCTCACATCTATGTTTCGATCTCTCTGTCTCTTTCCCTCCCACTCTCTCTGAAAATAAATGGAAAAATATCCTGAGGTGAGGATTAACAAAACAAAAACAAATAAATATCTTACAATCTTATTTGTTAATTATAACTCAATAAAACTGAAAACAGCAAGTAACCACAGCCACATTGCTTACTACATGCCAGCCCTGGTAGTAAGCACTTTATAAACTTTACTCATTTCATTCACAGAACAACCCTGTGTGATAGGTACTAGGCCACATTGTACAGATGAGGAAAGTGAGATACAGAAAGATTAAATATCACACAACATAAAGTGGCAGGGCCTGGATTTGAACCCCAGAGTTCAGCAGCCTGACTCCAGAGTTTATGTCCTCAATCATTCAAATAGTCTACATCAAGGTGTCGGTATAGTGGTGAGCATAGCTGCCTTCCAAGTAGTCTACATCTCAGAGTACTGGTTATTTAAAATCTTTTCTACATCTTATAATATCATATTCATCATAATTACATGGAGGGGGGAACTTTAAAATTACTGTCTTTCCACAAAAATTTGTGCCTAAAGTACTGCCTATTGATAGTGACTTTATATTAAGCACATAATGTACTTAATGAGTAATAAGTAATTTTCAGATTGATTTATAACTGACTTCAAATGTTTTCCACTGCAATTAGCATATGTGTATTAAAGTATATAGTGACATGTATGAAAAGAGTGAGGTCATGTCCATACACATGATTCAAAAGGAATGACTGCATTTGGCTTTGTTAACCACACAACTCTATCAACAAAACTATTAAAATATTTTAAATGAAGATATTACTTGACTAAGTGACAATATTTGAAATGTGCAAATGTGGTTTTAAAGGCCTTTTATGCACTATACTTTCTAAGTCTTGGCGGTTATAATAACATGAAGCTGTACGTGGAAGCCCTTTAAATTTACACCAGTTAAGCAACAGGAGTAACTCTTCTCACTAAATATCTATAGCAAGGCTCTACCTCGTGCATGATGGAACACACTTCAGGGTTCTAGTAAATGACTGGAATCATCGTGGCTGGGCCTACATCACTTTTGATTTTATGCAAATATGTTTCCTCTGATCTAATGCTATGTACATTTCTTTCCAGAAAGTGAGCCATCACTTTTAGAACTCAAGCTATTTAGCAGTGGTCCTCTGGTCGGCGGGTTTGTTTACCGAGGCTGCCAGTCGGAAAGGCTGTATGGAAGCTACGTGTTTGGAGACCGTGATGGGTAGGTGTCCTGATCCCATAATTTGACATATTGAATGACATATACATTGTGGTTAGGGGGCAGGCTGCCGTAAAGTATGCAAGTGTGTGTCTCCCTTTGGGGGTCAGCTCTGGGGGACATACAGATATTATGTTTAGTCCCACTATTGTATGGTGGTCTGAAGAACTACCTAAGATGCTTTTTAAACAGCCATGAACAAGTTCATAAAATAATTTTCTCTGTGTACAACACCTCAAACATTAAATCTTGGAATAATATAATAAAATGATTGTAGCAACAGGTTTAAAATAAACCATACCTTGATGTTGCATCTTCATCAATCATAAAAAAATAATAATAATTTTCTTTAGTGCAGAGAAGTCTGCACTAAAGAAAATTATTATGTAGGCTCTGCTCTTCATCCTTACCAAAAATTCGCCATGATATTGAGTAGTTTGGAAACTATGGCTTTATATGAGTTTATAAATATTTTAAAGATCATCTTGGTAGGCCGAGATTTTTTGCTTTTGATTTTGATTTTCAGGACTTTGGGCAAGTTGATTAGTCTCAAGTGGTAGGGATACTCCAAAATTAAATTTCGGTCTAAAGTTAAGGTCACATTGTGGATAATTATAAGAAATTCTGTGATGAAACCCAAATTCAGAATCTTGTTTCCCAAGCCCCTGGCATTGGCAGAGCTGATATGCTTGGTCACTACAGGACTAGAGAAGTGTACTGACCCCCTAACCTCCCCCTGCCCTCTCTCTGATTGGTAGCTCAGCATGGAGTCTAGTCCTAGAGAGGAAGTATCATTCTCTGGGTGAAGGGGCAGGCTTTTCCCAGACTCAGGTACATTGAGTGCCCTGGGGGAACAAAACCCTAACTTTAAGTACTTCCTCCCCACTGGGGAATTTCATAGTATTCACACACATGTTGGGCTATAACATTTTTCCCTGTAGAAGCCAGGCCTAGGGCACAACAATTATTTATGGAGTTTTATTTTAGACAACTGCTTGTGTTCTTTTAAGCAACTGTGTGTTTTTACTGTAGGTTTGTGGTATGTTTGTGTTGCAGGAATTTCTTAACTCTTCAGCAAAGCCCCGTGACCAAGCAATGGCAAGAAAAACCGCTCTGTCTCGGCAATGGCGGTTCCTGTCGAGGCTACTTCTCAGGTCACATATTGGGATTTGGAGAAGATGAGTTAGGTACCGCACAGACTTTTCTATTACGTTCCCTTCTCATCCCTTTGCCTGGGGGTTTTGTTCTGCTCGGAAGAATAAACACCACCCTCTCATCCTCCTGTGTTGGAAATGTAATCTAGAGCAAAGATGGCCTCCTGGAGAGATTTCAGCTGGTCCAGTTATCTGTTGGGTTCTTTCAATAACCTTTCGGTAGGGGGCCTTTACATCTTATTTCCACTCCAGAATATGTAAGTCAAAAAGCAGGAAAATGAGAGGCAGGAACAAAAGGAGAACTTTTGCAGTCAAATGCTCTACCACTGAGCTATACCCCCAAAAGGAGAACTTTTGAATCCCAAAGAGAGGGAAATTTTAAATGTCTACTGATATTTTTGATGCATCTGAGTCATTTGTTTAGATTCTCTATCTGAAAACCTTCCCATTGATGCATGCCTCTTGGAATAAATTAAAAATTTGTTGTAATCCAAATTGCACTTAACCTCTATTTCCTAATTTTCGGTTTTGTGTCCATTGGGACATAAAACTTGTGCAAAATAATCTGAGTTTATTGATCTGCTTTGCAACAGAATGAAAATTATCTTTTGGTTGATGGTCTACAGAATAACATACAATTTATTTGTTGGTGTTTATAATAAAAACCTAAGCAATAGTTAGGGTGGAACAACCAAAACAGCCAGTCTCTATGATGTGCACTGACGACTAGGAAGCAGACGTTCAATGCAGGAGCTGCCCCCTGGTGGTCAGTGTGCTCCCACTGGGAGAGTGCCGCTCAGCCAGAAGCCTGGCTCATGGCTGGTGAGCGCAGTGGTGGTGGGTGGTGGTGGTGGTGGGAGCTTTGCCCTCCTCCACAGCAGTGCTAAAGAAGGAGTAGCTAGCTGAGCGGTAGGAAGCAGTGAGCAAGCAGGCAGTAAGGAGCTAGGGGTCCCAGACTGTGAGAGGGATGTCCAATGCCAGCATAGGCCTGATCCCCTGCGGGCCTAAACTGGCAGGCAGCCATTCCCAGAGGGGTTCCAGACTGCAAGAGGGTGCAGGCTGAGCTGAGGGGACCCTCCCCCCCACAGTGCATGAGTTTCGTGCACCGGTCCTCTAGTATCTCTATTATGTCTGCAAAAAAAAGGTTAAAATTGGAATGTGATCAGAGTGGAAATACCATTAATTTTAAATTTTAGAGATAAATGTCACTTTCATAATACTGCCCTTTAAAGAAAAATGACAACTACGCCCCTTTAACATTGGAGATGAATTTCTCAGTGTTAAGAAAGAGTTGTGTTTCCCATTGAAATCAGAATATTTTCTCTAAAAGTACAGATTTGGTTTTCCTGCATCAGATGAAGGATTAGTCAGAAATCATTCCATGCCATTTCCTTACAGTAGGTTAACAAAGAAATCAGACAAGATTCCTTAAACACATAACACATATTTCAGAGCCACAGGAATATAATGATTCAAAGAAGAGAAATCCAATCTGTCCTTTTCTTGTTCCAGCATTGGAAGCATTTTACAATTAATTTTCCCTTGATAGTCTCCTTCTCCACTTATAGGACCCAGAAAGATACCCTTTTTTCTCTTAAATTATCTGTAATGTAATTTACATTTCACTGGCCAACTCTTATTTGAAAATACAAATGAGGACTAACTTGCTTATGCCAGAGTTAGAGATGCATATTTAGATGCGGTGGCTGAATCGTTTAGATTTCCTCAGACCTTGCTACAAATGATTCACCCTCAGTCATTCTATTAACAGCAGCATCACTGGTTAAAATATCCAAGTGTCTGTCTACACTTAATACTATGTTGGGAGCAGAACCAACAAATAAAACATACACAGTCCTTCCTTCTCCAAAGCTATAATGTCGTGTATATTTTATAATTAAAAATATACTTTCACTGACTATTGATTTAATGTGAAACTGGAAACTTAAGAGCCATTTAAGGAAATGAGTAAGTTTTGGAATATTTGAAAAAAAAGTATTAAAAATCTGTTTTTCCTATGTAGTTTTTAAAAATAATATTTGTTGATTTCAGAGAGGAAGGGAGAGGGAGAGAGAGATAGAAACATCAATGATGAGAGAGAATAATTGATCGGCTGCCTCCTGCACGCCCCATACTGGGGATCAACCCACAAGTTAGGCATGTGCCCTGACAAGGAATCAAACCTGGACCTCCTGGTTCATAGATAGATGCTCAAACACGGAGCCACACTGGCTGGGCCTGTGTGCGGGTTTTTTAAACTATAAAATCAGGTTGGATTTGTAGGAAGAATCAAATGAGGTAAACTAAAGAACTTGAAAGTAAATGTAATTTTTACTTACATTCCTTTGCTTTTTAACTTCATTTTAGTTTTTCTATTGTGTGTAAGTTTTAAGCGTATACCATGTCATGTCCATTTCAGGGTTTTTTTAATACGCAATATATAGAGGGGAATAGAGAAGTATAGAGTAAATCAAGAACAATATAAAGAGGGGAATAGAGAAGTATAGAGTAAATCAAGAACTATCTCATGAATGAGAACCAAACATAAGTATTAAAGCTTTATAAACATGTAATCATAAGTATAGCTTCTAACTCCCTATTTGTGTTATCCACTCTGAATGAACACTGAGTTACATGGAGGTACTGGTAATAAACAAGAGGGGGTTCTCTCCTGACAGGGTCTGCTGTCTGTTGTATTTCACCATCATGAACAGAGCCTAGCATCACAAGTGAGGGAGGCAGAATTGGGACTGAGCTTCAGGGTCTCTCTCCTTCTGTCTTTCCAAATTTTTATTTGTATTTTTTAAAAGCTAAACATTAAAAAGGTGCGAGTCCTATGGATGAGGACAATGGGGGGTGAGTAGGGGGCGGAGGGTGGGGTGGGAACCTGGTGGAAGGGGGAAGAAATGAGGAACCTTTGTAATAATATGAACAATAAAGATTGATTAAAAAAATAATAATAAATAAATAAATAAATAAATAAGTAAAAAGGTGCGAGTATCCCAATTCCATCTAGCCTCAAATTATCCATTAACAGTGACAAAGTAATCAAACCTTTCAGTCTTGGGCAGAATAAATCAAGATAAAACCTGCCATTCAACACTCATTCTACAAATATATTCTGTGCAAAGCTCTGTTCTAGGTGTTGTGGATACGGCAGCAGATTTAAAAAATCTAAACTGTTGTCATGAAATTCATATTCTAAAAATATATACTGCATGTCAATTGGTAATAAGTGCTTGGGAGAAAAATCTAGTTGTGAAGAAGGATACAGATTGCTGGGGATTGGGACAAGTGCAATTTTAAATAATGTAGTCAAGAAAAATAATGTGTAAGCACAGACTTAAAGGAGAGAGTGGGGGGTGGTGAACCCACTGAGGATCTACTGAAAGACAGGAACCTGAGGCAGGAGCCTAGGTCAGGAACCTGCCTTGTGTGGTCAAAGCCAAGAGGCCAGTGAAGCTAGAAAGAAGTGAATAAGGGGCAACATATTGCAAATGAGGCAGAACAATAAGGGGCGAAGGGAGACAGCACAGGCCACTGTCAGAGCTTGGCTTTGCTCTGAGAGAGATCAGAAGCCATTGGAGGCTATCGAAACGAGTGTGATCCAATTCATGGGATCTAACTTACTTTATAAGAATCACTGTGGCTGGTATGTTGAGAGAAGACACAGAAGGACAAGGATAGAAGCAGGGTGATAAGGTTAGGGGGCTGTTGCCATAATCAGGGTGAGAAATTAATAGAGTAACAATGGAATGTGGAGAGAAGTGGGTGGAATCTGGGTGCAATGTGAAGGCAAGACGAGTGAGACTCATAACTTTTAGGCAGGTGATCTTCCTGAGGGGGTGTGTGTGGGTATGGGTGGGGGTGTGTGCGTGCATGGGAGCACGCACACACACACACACACACACACACACACACACACACACGTACTGTGGAATAATTTATTGTATTTCTCTCTACATAGGGGAAATTTACATTCTATCAAGTAGCAAAAGTATGACCCAGACTCACAATGGAAAACTCTACAAAATTATAGATCCCAAAAGGTAAGATTTCTTTTTTGTATTCCTTTGAGTGAAGAAATGTTCTTCTCCACATTATTTCAGTGCGTTCACAGTAGTGATAGGCAAATTACAATGAGCAACTGAGAAAGATGACTGCGCCTGTCCTGAGAGGAGCCTCGGCCCCAGTCCGTGAGAGCCAGGCTGGACTGTGTTGAAACTCAAATGTCTTGTTGCTGTCACACATTCAGGTCGTTCTTGTTGCATGGGGCAGCGTTATGTGTGTGGAATGAGTCCTCAGTTACATGTGAGGAAGACCCAGATGAACGAGGCAGTGGCTTCGGCTCTCCTGGGGAAAACAGTGCGACCCCACGCCTTGTCTTTTTGAGAAAACTAGAAACACGCTGGCAGATGTGATTTCTGATAGGCAATCAGGGGAAGTTATTTTGGCAGTTCAACATCTGAGCCTCATTTCAAAACCCCCTGGAAGTTCACAGCTCGTATGCAGGTTTCTGTGACTAAACAAACAAAAACTAAAAACGTGTTTTGTTATTTACCTCAGCAAAAAGGAGACTTGAGTGTTTTGGTTTGTTTTTTTTTTAATATATATTTTATTGATTTTTTTACAGAGAGGAAGGGAGAGGGATAGAAAGTTAGAAACATCGATGAGAGAGAAACATCAATTAGCTGCCTTCTGCACACCCCCCACTGGGGATGTGCCCGCAAACAAGGTACATGCTCTTGACCGGATTCGATCCCGGGACCCTTCAGTCTGCAGGCGGAAGCTCTATCCACTGAGCCAAACCGGTTTTGGTAGAGACTTGAATGTTTTAATACTTTGAGGAGTATATTTATTCCTGTCCTGCTCCTCTTCAACTACCGATCACACACACACACACACACACACACACACACACACACACACGGTGTTCAAATGATCTTGAATCATAATTAGTCGTTAATGTCATGGATAAAACTGGACTATCGGGAGCTGCTAAAAGTATATACTGTCAAATAGAAATTAGACACAAGTTTGGAAACAACTATCACAGAACCTAAGCATCCTCACAAGCACGGCCGTTGTTGGGCACCAGCAGTCACGGGAGCCCGCTAGCCCACATGACGAGCTTCACATTAGTTCTCTGCTAACTTATCTTCATGAGCCCATTTGCAAACTTAGGTTCCTGGGTTTCAAGTCTTTTAGAAGAATAAGTTCTAATAACCTGAAAAGTTTACCAAAAGCAGTATTGCAGCTCTATTTTAAAAATATTTTCCCAAGTTGTAAATTGTGTATCTTTTTTCTGAAAAAAAAGTCACTAACAAAATAGAGATTCTTGCCCTTGTACCACAAAACATTGTTTTTCCTGAGGCGCTTCAGAACAAAAAGGAGAATAGTCCGTTCTAAACCATCTGTCGAAAGCATCCCACCTAGACATGGGTCCCACAGTGATAGCATCCCTTCGCTGCCTAAGGAACACGTTTGCTTTCACAGTGAGACAAGGACCGGCTGTGCCCTGCCGGGGTTCTTTTCCTCCTTGAATGTGAAGCCAGTTGTTCTCTTTGTGGAAAGCAAAGTAATGAATGAAAAAAAATGTCAGACACCACAGTAACTGTTGAAGTTGGCACTAGGAAGAACGGAATCCAAACTCATGTTAATTCATAAAATACCAGCATTCTAATGATTCATAATGAGGCCTGGGGGTTTCGCTCAGATCTGATGCTCACCATTCATTTCAAAATAGCCATTGTTATTCCATTATGTTCGTCCAAGTTGGTCTGCTTTTGCAAGCTTCCTGGTAGTGGTATAACGAATTCTCCCTCCTCCTCCTCCTCCTCCTCCTCCTCCTCCTCCTCCTCCTCCTCCTCCTCCTCCTCCTCCTCCTCCTTCTCTTCCTTCTCCGGAAAATCTTTCTCTCTTCATCTGGATTGTTTAGTCTGTTGGTGGTGCACGGAGGTGAATTTTACACCTTCAACCCATTATTAGTGTCTAATTACCAGGGTTGCCATGAGGGACCTTGGCTTTGTGATCTGAGGGCCCCCTCTCATAGGGTGGTCTCCGAGTGACATACCTGAAAGGCCTGACTTCTCATTATGGTGCCTGTTTCTGGTGAGTCGTGTCATGTGTGGGGCCAGGGTTAAGATGTATGTTTGGTTTTCAGGAGGTTGGGGGAGTAACAGAGCCCCAAAGACACGGTCCTTATACACAGGCAGAGGCATACATTTCAAAATCAAACTGACTGTAAGAAAACAAATGTTTTCATAAACATTTGTTGGGAGCCTCGTTCTGTTTTGATTTGGATGCCAACGTTTATTATTACAGTATTTCAGCCTAGATGAATTGAATTTCTATATGAGTAGACACTTTAGTGTATGTGAGCGGGATTATTTTGCAAACACAAGCTAATTACTGGCCTTGCAGTATTCAGAGTATCTGCTTCAAAGCAAAAGTGTTTTTCTAAAACTTTTGAGGAAGAAAGAAGGGAGGGAAGGAAGGAAGGAAGGAAGGAAGGAAGGAAGGAAGGAAGGAAGGAAGGAAGGAAGGAAGGAAGGAAGGAAGAAGAAAGAAAGAAAGAAAGCCTCATCAACTGAAAAAACAATATATAGATATTTTTTGTCATATTCCCAAATCCATCTCAAATTAAAATCTTAGGTTAACTCTAGTCTGTGGAGGAGTCCCAGATTTGTAATGTTTGCATAATATCTTTCAAACATGAATTGACTCCTGGCCCTGGAAGAGAGGAACAACAAATTATAAAAATATTCTATATTAGATGTCACAGAAGTTACGTTCTTACCATAGGATTTGTTTGTTTCTTTTTTTTCCCTATGCGCACGCGCACGCGCGCACACACACACACACACACACACACACACACACAGTAACTCACATTCAAGAAAGATGAGGGAGTTTATAAACCATTTGTAATATTCTTAAGTTCCTTTGACAAAAGCAGGCAAACTTCCCTAAGGACAATGTGGTCTGAGGATGTATGTTACACAGTCATTTACATAAGTGCAAAATCATGTACAGTGGGCAGCCTTCTCAGAAGAGGATGGTAAGATAACCTCTTATAAACATCAAATGCTGCCCTAGCTGGTTTGGCTCAGTGGATAGAGTGTCAGCCTGTGGGCTGAAGAGTCCTGGGTTCGATTCCAGTTAAGGGCACAGACCTTTGTTGCAGGCTCAATCCCCAGCCCTGGACAGGACATGTGCAGGAGACAAGCAATTGATCTGTCTCTCTCATATAAGTGTTTTTCTTTCTCTGTCTCTCCCCCTTCCTTCCTTCCTCTCTCTCTCTCTCTCTCTCTCTCTCTCTCTCTCTCTCTCTCTCTCTCTCTCTCTCTCTCTCTCTCTCTCTCTCTCTCTCTCTCTCTCTCTCTCTCTCTCTCTCTTTCTCTCTCTCTCTAAAAAAACCAATGGAAAAATATCCTTGGGTGGGAATTTTTTAAAAAAATCAAGTGCCATTATTTATCACGAAAGAAACTTCAGTGAGAATTCAACCAGGTTTCTCTATGGCTTCGCTAGAACTCTGGAGTCGTTTAAGGAAAAAAGCAGAACATTTCACCTCGGTGTTAGTATCCTCGAGTGGAGCATTACATCTTGTGGTGGAGTTGCATTAGGATCAAGTCCACACCAGTCACCCAGGGTGCTGGCCCACACACTGGGGCCCCCACAGTCCGTAGGATGGGTTCTCATGCCCTACCTGGGAGCTCTTTGAGCCAGCAGTTCCAGAAAAGATTCCAACCCAGTGAGCACAAGGCCTGGGCCACAATTCGAGTTTCACATAGTAGTGCCCCCTGAGACTGGCCGAGAGAAGCAGCAGGTCTAGCCTGATAGGACAGAGAGTCCACTGGTCTTGTCTCTGACTCTCCCTTAGTGTGGGCCCGGGGCTAAGTGGGTTCCCAAGGTGTGTCCCTTCTCCTTTGCTATGGACTGAGTTCATGCTGCCCTACACCCTTTCTGCAGAGGGCTATGGAGGTCATTAAATACTACATTTAAAATGTTAAACTCTGAGTATTGTTGGTTTTCATTACGTGCACTGAAGAATTATTTTCAGGTGATCTCTCAACATTTAAGTTTGTGTTAGTTCCAAAGTTAGGGTAAAGGTGTCCATGGAGCTGTAAAGAGCTCTTCATACATAGCTTTCAAATATCCAAGGCATGCCTTGCATGCTTGCTTCTTTATGAAATCTTTTCAGGGTCAAACAGTGCTCCTGGGGGATAGAAACTAGAGAATTCCAAAAAGAGTTATGCATTTTCCAAGCTTTATTATGTGTGTGTTTGTTGTTGTTGTTGTTTTTTTTGCACTTTTGACAAAGGTTCTTTCATTTTTGTTTCAGATGAACTAAAAGCAAATGACTTTTTTTTTTAATTTTGAAACATTGCTGGGGTTCTTTCTCTAGGAATTTACATAACAAAATCATCTTAATCATGTTGATTTAATTACTGTGTACCCAGTCGTGCTGTATTTTAACTGCTTATCTGTTACCCAACCAAGTCCCACAGACCGTTCCCTTAAGGGGTCTATAAATGAACAATGCAAATTCCAAGCTGGAGAGGTCATTTTACAGAAACGCTGTACCTCAGACTCCTGTGTGACCAATATCAAAACCTGCTCCTCTTGCCGCCTCCCTACCGCTCCCCTCCACGGCCCCACTTACTGCCCGTTGTTTATTTTCTTAAAATATCTTCATCCTACTCCTTATTATACTGGATGCTGAAGAGTGCTTTATTAAAAAAAAAAATCACTTCATAAGAGGAAATCGGTTCTGTTTATCCTCCGCCTATGTCTCAGGGAGCCGTCAGGCAGCTCTGCCATCCCAAAGAAAGTCATGCATAATAGAGAGGCTTTAGCCCAATAAGCCAGTCTAGTCCCAATTCATCAGTCAAAGTTTTATGCAAGTGGCCCCCCTAGGTTGATAAATCCCCACAGTGCCTGTTGACCCAGCTGCCAAGCCTCTTGCTGCAGGCGGTGTTTTCATGGCCACCCTGACAGTAATACAAACTGTTTAGCAGCTCCATTGACCTTTCAGCTATTAACAGGGACACAGCCTCCGCTAGGGACTAGTTTTCAAACATGACAGAATTTCTTAACACTAGAGGTCATGAACAAGTATATGCCCTATAAAAATCCATTCAGCATGGTGGATTTGAAACCTAAAAGACCAGGAAGCATGTCCCACAGTTTGGCTATCGTTATTTTTGTTACATATCCAATAACTGAAAAAATGGATACTATATCTGCCAGGGTGTATTTTATTCTTAATGTACTGCATTGTATGTTGTGATGCACAATATCCTTTTAACCAACAAATCCTTTTCTAAGCTGTAAGGCAGCATCTGAAGTTTTAAAGAAACATTACCAAAAAATGGGGTAGAGCAAAGTCAAAATTTCTAATGAATGGATAAGCATGCATACATAATGTATGGCAAGAGCCTAAGCATAACTGGAATTTTATTCATACTTTACCAAGATTTGCTTATGTGTTTTTTTTTTTGTTTGTTTGTTTGAAGTATTTGCTTATGTTTTTGAATAAACTATCCTTATGGAATCCATACAATGCTATATGAAACCATCACAAAATGAATAGAAAATATTATATAATAATTTAAGGAAAGAAATATCTAAATTACCATGTTATTTTTAAATAGTTATGTAATTCTTCTTATATGAATATCTTATTTCCTGGAGACATGATCCATGACCACAGCATTCAAAGGAATTTTCTGCTTTGTACTATGTAGTATACTCTTTCTTAAATTACCAAATTTAAATGTTAGAATACCAGTTCCTAGAGTAATTACATAGATTGCTTTAAAAACTTGAATTACCGCTTATAAATGGCATTTGTTAAAAGGACATAAAATGGAGAATATGAACAGAGAAGAACGTATTCTTCAGGATGACACTCATTTGTTAAGAGTCAAAACTCATAAAAGCATTTCTTAGAATTTCCACATTTCTTCCCTGCCTGGAATGGCGGTAGATGACTAAATCTTCTGAATACCTTATACTTCTACTACAAGGCAATCTGTCACCAGATATTTTAGTACTTGAGATAAAGGCAGGTTTAATCTTGCATAAAACAGCCACATACATTTGTAAAATGATGTTTTCTAGAGGAAGGTATAATTTTTAAAGAAAAACTGCATATTATCATCATTTTTTCACTAATCCATTTTAGTTGGGTTTTAAAAATCTGTTGCTTAAATGACTTGTTTTTATTAATAATGATAAATGAATCAAAAAGTGTAACATCACAATTTGGGAATTTATCTTCATGGAGTTTATATATCAGAAAAAATATTTGAGAAAGTTTCTACTATATGCATTCAGCTCAATTTAACAAACATTCATTGAATGCCTATATTTTCCTAGCATCTATGAATGTAAGTAGTTGAAGGAGATAAAATACTTTGGTGGCTTAAATGTCATCTTTCTATAACATCCCTCAATCCTAAGCTAATTACTGCCTCCTCTATATTCCTGTGTTACTGCATTTATGCCTGTATCACAACAAAGATCATACTGATTTAGTCTGTGTTTGCTTGTCTGTCTTCCTCATGGTTTGTCCATGAGGATCAGGATTCTGTTTTGTTTATATCTTAGCCCCATGAAGAGCACAGTATTTGCCCGAGTAATGACTGGACTTGAAGAGGTTTGAATATGTAGTTTTTGTCCTCAAAGCTTTATTCCAATTGGGAAGGGGAAAGGGGAAGATAATCTATTCCTTAAGAGAAGTGAAGTTCTGTAAGAAATGGGCTATGTTTTATATAATTTTGAGTTAAGGTATTCCCAATAGACTAACAGTTTAAAAGAGAGGATTTATTGGACATGCCAAGTGAGAAATGTTAGTTGTCAACTTTGTAACAGAAGAAAAAGATGATTTCTCCAGGTATTTAAATAAAAAAAAAGGAATCACAATAATTATTTATATGACAACCACAACATCATTTATAAGCTAAAGTAAACAGGCCCAAATATGAAATATTTTCATCCATAGGTAGATAAGTATTTACTAAATCTTAGGCAGAAAAACAAGTTAGAATTCTGCCCGTAAACTCTACATCCACATATATGGTGAAAAATAGTCAGAGCATCTAATTGGAGGGTCAGTGTGGAAACAAGTCTCAGATACCCACCCTGAAAAACTGCACTTCAGAACTGGACCCCTATTCTCCTGTCTGCCTTCCTCTCCTCGGCAAATTCCCATGGGAATCAATTCCCTTGCACCCTGCCTCAAACTGGCAGCATCTTCTGATTGTTGTCCTTTAACCAAAGCCACTTCCATTCTTGATCTAAATGGTGTCTTCTCTTTAGACTCAGCTGCTTAGGCATAAGCCCTACTGTCGAGCAGTACATGAGCTGTGTGTCTCTATGTTTTGCATGATATACAACATGTAATCTATTCTTGATAAATTCCTACTTCTGGGTCTCTTTTTTTTGAATGTGTCAGAAAAGGGTGAACAAGTGAATAACAAGTGGAACTGAATAACGGAATTCTAGTTACCAGTAAAATTTGAACAATACTGCTTACTGAGTGCCACCTGGCCAAAGATCGTGGCCTATGACTCAGAAGAACTTCCTGGCTACTAAACAAATGGCTCTACTGATGGTCAAAGACACCGCCACTGTTTCCCCGAGTAAGACTTTTAGTTGAGGAAGACAGAGAGCAGATTTGAACGAGTCAACCACAATAAGAAAAAGTCAGAGAGCGTGCTCTCCCTTTCCTAGGCATAATCTTTTCATACTTTCTCCACCTTATCCAGCCCTGCCCTGAGTCCCCAAAAGACACCCTTGGGAAACACATGGACAATATCCATTAATGTTTTCTGTATAAAAATATGCTTAGTCCATGGAATACCTTAGGGAGCTTTCTAGAAATTGATCATTTCTAGATTTAAATAGGGGGTTTTTCTGAATTGTCGTGTTAGTAGTAAAGCACTGTTGTTTCAACTCAGATTGGGACTTTTACTGGAGAGAAGAGCTAGAGAAGTCACTAAATATTTTTAATATGATTTTGAGTCATTGTAGAAATAGCCTGAGGTCAGCCTCCAAATTATTATTGCTGTTCACAGTGCCCACAGGGGCATTACAAGACAACTCACCTGAGGAAAGGGGGGATCTAAAGGGCCTAATTATTTGCTTCTCTCAGAAAGCTACCTCATTACCTCTTGTGGTGGTTGTGACCTATAATTATCACTTTCTTTGATATGCTACTGAAGGAGTCCCACCACTTTGGCTGTCCTGAGGATGGCCATTTGACTGGTGATGGTGCGATTGTTTACATTCCTTAACCAAAAAAGAGCTTTCTCATCACACGGGAGCGCAGGTTCCTGATGAGAAGTGTACCACCACATGTCTTTCCCCAAAGATGATTAGACAGTGAGTAGTTAATTGTGATCATGATTCCAGCCTGACTCAGCTTGAAAGCCTCTTCTTTCAAAAGCAGTGAAAACCATAAAAATCTTCAGAAGGCATCTTGATCCCTCTCTCAACGATGGCAGTTATAGAGCAATTAAAAAAAAAATCTATGACTTTTTACTCAGCAGATAAGATGTTTCTCTTTGCTCCCAATAGCATTCATTTCCTTCATAGCAGAATAAAATTAAACATTTTAAAATGTATATCTACACATTCATAAATATATATATATGTATATATATCATTCTTTGCATAAAGACTTGAAATTTTGAGTCAGTAGGACACACACTCATATACACACACACAGTGCAATATCCTTTCCAAAAAAGTTAGCCTAAAAATGTATCTCAAAATAAATGTAAAATTGAAATAAAAATGGATTCTCAAGCTTTTTAGGCTACAAGCATTTATTTTACTGAATACTCTCAGCCTTGTGATTATGAAAAATATTACAGTAACAGGTGAAATGTATCTCAGATACTACAAAAAAATTTTGTAAATCTTAAAAAAAAATTTTTTTAATGTCTATACATCTATATTGTTAAAGTTGTAATTGCTAGGATGTCTTAGCCAGCAAATGTAAAATATTAGTGTAGCATGATTTTATATATATATATATATATATATATATATATATATATATATATATTATAGATGTTTCTCTCTCTCTCTCTCTCTCTCTCTATATATATATATATATATATATATATATATATATATATATTATTGATTTTACACAGAGAGGAATTGAGAGGGACAGAGAGTTAGAAACATCGATGAGAAACATCAATCAGCTGCCTCCTGCACGCCCCCTACTGGGGATGTGCCCGCAACCAAGGTACATGCCTTTGACCAGAATCGAACCCGGGACCTTTCAGTCTGCAGGCTGATGCTCTATCCACTGAGCCAAACCGGTCCCTGCACATAATTATATTTTAATCAATGAATTTTGATCATGATGAGGTTTCTTACAATATTTGCTAATTTCCTCTTTCATCCAAACTGACTAGTTTGTTTCCTTTCTGGTGTGTATTTTCTATTCCTAGAAAGTTGTAAAAAATAAAAATTAAAAATAAAAAAGTTGTCAATCTTTCAGAGTCCCTTAAAAGAAGGGTCTGCTTAGAAAGCAAGAGATGCACTTTGTGAGCTACAAAGTCACTAGATTTCATTCCAATAGTGATTTTCAACCAATTTCTGTCTTTTGTTTCAGACCTCTAGTGCCCGAGGAGTGCCGAGCAGTGGTCCAGCCAGCCCAGATGCTGACTTCCGAATGCTCCCGGCTCTGTCGGAACGGCTACTGCACCCCCACGGGGGTGTGCTGCTGCAGCCCAGGGTGGGAGGGCGACTTCTGCAGAATCGGTCAGTACTGCCAGTGTCCCAGTGGGAGACTGGGCAAGGGACAGTCCTCAGGAACTCAAGAACTTAACACCAGGTCATTTCTTCTTGAATTATGGAGTGTTCAACATTCAGTCATTTCCAATAATATTAACGCTCACTTTGCCCCTGAACTAGCTAATGAAAGCTTTCCCCTTTTCCCAACGTGAACATTTCCCATATATAAGTTAGTCATTAAACATAAAAGGCTTTTATCTCATTGCATCCTTTCCAAAAGCAAAAATTAAAAACACATCATCTCTATAGGCTCCCAGTCCTGGGTTTGAGACTTCCCACCCGCCAAGGCCTTGGTGTGTGCAGAGCCCCTCTCCCAGGGTCAGCACTTTCCTGACGTCCCATAAAGGCCTCTCGAGCTTAACTGCTCGCTTTCTGGCTACGGTGCACTACAAACGGGGTTCTTCTGTGGGCATTGTTAAATAAAAGGGGAAAACGCAATTACCTAGAGGCATATATGAGATTTTTAAACCCTTTTGGCCACTCCCTTGTGAGCCATCAACTAGGTGTACAGATGCTCAGAGAGCAAGGGAGGTTTATTCCAGGGTTCCTCTATCCTTTAACAAGGGATTTCCCCAGTTACATCAGGATGTTCAAATCCTATAATACTTGGTGTGAAGTAAGAAAATTACATAACTTTAGATACTGAGTTTAAGATATATATGTTGAAAATGCATTTTCAGGATATTTTTTCCCTTTTCTTTGTGTCTACATCAGATGATGGGTGTTAACTAAACCTATTGTGGTAGTCATTTACAATCTATGCAAATCAAAGCATCATGCTGCACACTTGAAACTTATACAGTGGTGTCTGTCAATTATTTCTCAATAAAACTGAGGGAAAGATTGCTATAAGGATAAAAAATGCATTTCCAACAACCAGCATATATATATATATATATATATATATATATTACATCCAATAAAAAATTTAACCCCTGCTATTTTAAGTATTAATTCATAAATGTCAATTTTTTTCTTTACCCTAAACATGTGTTGTGGGTTGTTTTTTTTTCAGAAAAATTACAACTATAATGTGTCTACTTTGTATATTGTATGACAAAAAGTAGCCAATATTTAAAGTTACATATATAGCCTACATTTTAAGCTTAAATTGTTTCAGCCCTAATAACATTTCATGAATACTATGGTTACTATACTATCAGTGTTCAAATGCACTAATATTCTAATTTCTGAGATTATTTCTTCCCTCTGCTCCCTCTGATTCCTGACAATATATATTCTATCGGCCTCTTCTATATCGTGTCCATTTTGTTTTACTCCTTACTTTGCATTTTGCCTAACTTCTCAAACTACTAGATCACAAGTATTTATTGAGTGCCTTCTAGCAACAGGATGTTTAAACTGACAGCAAACCAATTATTTTGAATATGGGTGACATTAAAGAATATACCATAATAGGTATTAATAATAATAATAATAATATGTGATATAAATGAAAATAGATATTCTTTGAGCTAACATTAAGTTTTATTTCAATAAAGTACTTTAATATTTCTAGTAAATCAATTTAAATAATTTAAACATATAAGATAAACGAGAACCATTTTGTAAAATTAAATCATTTGTGATATTTGTGAGCCAAGCCAAGTAAACTCATACAGTTTACTCACCTCCCACAAATTTAAAAGAAAGAATAGTCTATTTCCTTTTTGTTCTCCCTTTTCCATGTGTCAACCACAGGCCCCTTTTTTATTACTGCGTTGCAAAGATTAAAATGACCCTGTCCCCTGAAAGTATGATATAAGGAAATGTATTCAAGGAATTTGATTCTGCCAACAGGCTGTACCTTTCAGATTTATCCTATCAGCAAAAGTCAATTAAGTCATATACCCAATTTTTTCTCTTCATCTCATTTTAGCAGTAAATCTTCACATTCCCACCAATACTGTAGTGCTAACAGTCTTTTTATGGAGAGATTCTGTGCTGTAGAGTAGCTCTGAAAAGGATTGCTAAGAACATCCTTCACTGGCCAACTGCACTGACCCGGGAAGGACCTTCCACATGTGCTGGGAGGCAGCATATGCTGGAACCTCGTAGGAGCAATGAGGAGAGGTCCTAGGAAGTCCAGGTGCTCACTACTCCATCTAAGCCAGGACTGACACCTGGCCAGCCCTTCATGCTGTTTGGAGATACTCTCGAGGGCCATGGCCTCTCTCGTGGGCCAGGCCCTTCCCACATTGAGGTCCTCCCCGGGGGAGTGCAAGTTCTTTTCAGACTTGCAAAGAACTGAAATCCTTGTTTCGAAGAGTCCATTTTGCAAGGGATTAAAGTTGATTCCCATGATCTATGCTTTTCTGGTTATGTCTCCCATTCTCTGGTGAGGCCTGGTCCCCAAATATCTGTGTTTGAAAGCATCCTTCCCTTCTTGTCTATATTAACTTTTGGATTATTTTGTGACTGGCTTCCGCCTCCTCTCCCTCCCTTCCCTTCCTCATCGACTGTTTGTGCTGTTTCTGACATACAGGACGTGAGTATGATTGTATTGCTCTTTTCTTTTCCTCCCCAGCAAAATGTGAGCCAGCCTGTCGGCATGGAGGTGTCTGTGTTAGACCCAACAAGTGCCTCTGTAAAAAGGGATACCTTGGTCCTCAGTGTGAACAAGTGGACAGAAGCATCCGCAGAGTGACCAGGGCAGGTATTCTTGATCAGATCATTGACATGACATCTTATTTGCTGGATCTAACAAGTTACATTGTATAGTTACTGGGACTGTTTGACTCTACCTTTCCAATGGGCATTTATTTTTCATCCTGTCATTAAAAAGAAAGACTGCTATCCTGCTACACACTCCTGTGATTTCATTTTCTTTTATTAATTTAAAAAGTTTCCAGAAATGTGCAGATTCTGTGTGTGTATGTTGGCATGTTTGTTCACATACACACGTACACACACACACTCACAACCTCTATATATGTGGTTGCATAAAACATGGGTTTTAAATATATATATATATTTCCTTGTGTGGAGTAATTTACACAGAAATTCCATTGTAAATTGATAACAGGATTTTTATATTACCAGAAGAGATTATTTGACTTCCCAGGAATTTTCTGTCTGTAATAACTAAAGTCAACTATAATGGAGTTTTGAACCATTACTGTGCAATCTGATGGATCTAATAAAAAAGGCAATATTTTTATATTAAAGGACAATAATGTGAGAATGTTTCAGAACTCCCTGATGAATTTCTAAATGGGCAACTTGATTTAAAATTGTAATCTCCATTTCTATCATTGTATCCAATTACAGAATGTTATGCACTTACCTTTTTATTGGCAGAGAAATCTGGTTACTCTAGCTTAATATCAAGATTGTTCTCAAGTGTTTTATAATTAAATCATAACAGCATATTCTAAAACCAATCTTCCTAAAAGGTCTGCTTTTATTGTATATTTTATTTAACAATAGGCACTGGGTTTGTGTTACATATTTATATTTTTTATTTTATTTTTATAATATAGACATCACCTAGATGAAACACCTTTACCCTGTCCTGTAAAATACTAAAGTTACATTTTTCACCACCTTAATTGGAAAGAAGGGGAGTGAGAAAGCAAACAGTCTTAAATGTGCTGTGGATCTAACCTAGCCATGTGTCCTTGTGCCAACATGTAATCCTTAACGACGGATGAAAAAGCAAGAAAACAGCCAATCCTTATAAAATGACAGCATTAAACATTTGTAAAGTGCTTTTCACCGTAGCAAGACTGTCAGTGTATGTGATTAGAGCGTAACAGATTGCACATCAACCAAACCTCACTGGAGAAGAGCTCACTCGCTTTTAAACAAATCCTGGCTATGTAAGCTGTCACTTGTACAAATTTTTCATATAACAATTCTTGCCAAATATGACTTTTCATGTAAATGTTCCTTCAGATCTCAATGAAATTCCTCTTTGGTTAATGTATGAATAAATTTCTGTAAATGTTCTATTCAGGTTTTCAAGGAAATGCTATGTTCTCGCTCACAACTGCAAAAAAGTCGGATACACATTTTTCTTAATGGTTTCAAGGCCAGCTCTCCCCATGTCTGGATTATAACAAAATTATAAGGCCTCTTTGCACTACTGAAAAAAAACAACAAAACACCTACCCGTGACACCCGCACACCCACTACAGGCTGCCCTCCAGCAAACAGCTGTTCCTGCAGAATCTAAATTGGAGTGTAGTACAGAGTATGCGGTGCAGGCTGACTTTCCAAACCTGCTCCTTCCTTTCAGGAATAGGAACCTCAATGAAAAAGAACAAAATCTTGTAAACTGGTATTTCTCTATTGGTTTAAAGCGGGAAGAGTTGCAATGGAAGCACAGTGAGCATGTATACAGAGACCACACTGTGGAAAGATTGGTTAAGCACACTGCTCTTGTCTTCCATATATGATTACTTAAGTTTCAAGTGACCTCATGCCAAATGGAAATGGGTTGAGAAATCTTGGTTCAGTGCTTAGGGGACAATGGCCTGCATTAAAAAGTGCATGCATAATTTTGCACAATTTAGATTCAATGGACAGTCTATTCAAAGACGTCTCAGAATTAAATGAGCATGGAGACCAAATTGCCCTCTTACCCCAGAAAAGGGGTGGTCCCTTCTAGTCACACTAAGACTTCATTGGCCCAACAGTGTGACAAATCTTGCAATGAACCCTGCAGTAGCCTGCATCTGTAGGTTAATAGCGGTCTTTTGTCTCCATCGCTTTCTCTTCATCGCCCTTTTACTGAATTCCATCACAGAAAGTTTTACAATTAAAAAAAAAAATGTCCTGACAACCATTTTTGTAAATGGACCTTACCATCTAATCATCCCTTATTCAACATGGTGACATTAACAAAATGTGAACTTTTTGTGAGGGAGCCAGCTATCTAAATCTGTCAAATTGTGCAGTTTTATTACACATTCTTCCCGGTCATAGTTTCACTGAAAACAATAAGAATACTGCTATATATTCAGGAAAATCTGGAAAATCCAGTGTTTCTTCTTATATCCTGAATCTTTCCATCTCTTCCAAAATAATATTTCCCATAGACAAGGTGTTATATTATCATTAGTTCTCCTATTTAAAAATAGCTATATTAAGTTGAGCAGACCCCAGTTTTTTAATACAGTCCTTTCCTAAGTGGAAGATGACTTAGTAAAACATATAGACCCCAGGTGTCATTGCTTTTTCTATTGTGAGTCATTAGAATGAAAGATCACAATCTTCTTAAAAGAAGGTAACAAGATCTGTGGCCATCATACCTAAGCAAAGAAAGAAAACTCATTGGTGTCATTTCTTTCTGTTCTTAGAAGAGATATAAACAGCACTGGTATTGGATGCCTACAGATTTTATTTTATTTTTTAAGTATTTTTTATTGATTTTTGAGAGGAAGGGAGGAGATAGATAGGAACATAGATGAGAAAGTGAGGCATAGATCAGCTGTCTCCTACTTGCCCCTCACTGGGGATTGAGTCCGCAACCTGGACATGTGCCCTGACCAGGAATCAAACCAAGAACCTCTTGGTTCATAGGTAGATGCTCAACCACTAAGCAATACGAGCTGGATAAGGATGGCTACATATTTTAAACTCGGTGGTCATTTCAAACATTTTTCGAACTATTATTTCAAGTAGATTTTTAAAATCTGTGACTGGAGAATTGTCTTAAATAATTCATAATGAAAGACAAGTAGAAATTGGTTAAACAGTGGGAGCTAAGGAAGAATTATTGTTTCTTCCCACAAATGGCAGCATCTCCACCAACTCAGTTCATAAAGCACACAGTTAGAACGGAAGAAATGTCTTTGTGAATGCAGGTGTGTGAGATCAAGATGAAATAGTGAAATAGAGAAATATATATTATTATGACTATCTGTTCTGGAGTGTAATATGTGGGTGTCAGTTTAATATGAACTGCTGCTAGGTAGACGAGAAAGAATTGGGGGGAAAAACTTCCTGCCACTGCTTCTAACACACTCTTTTTTTTTTTTTTTAATATATTTTATTGATTTTGTACAGAGAGGAAGGGAGAGAGATAGAGAGTTAGAAACATCGATGAGAGAGAGTCATCGACCAGCTGCCTCATGCACACCCCCCACTGGGGATATGCCCACAACCAAGGTACATGCCCTTGACCGGAATCGAACCCGGGACCCTTCAGTCCCCAAGCCGATGCTCTATCCATTGAGCCAAACCGGTATCGGCTCTAACACACTCTTGTCCTAGTTAATAGAATTTTGTTTTCTTGCCAGTGATAGAATGTAATTAGAAAAAAATGAAATTGGCATATTATTAAAGTGCAAAAGAAGGGATAATTTCAGAAATCTGAGTGATGATAAAAAAGCACTTTTCTTTGAATTTTCAGTGTGACTTTTGTAAAATTTATTTTTTATTTTATCACAAAGAATACTCAGATGTTTTTTCAGATTTATGGACTATCTTGTAAAGAAAGAGCAAAGAAACCTACACATACAATATATGCACACAACCTAAATAGAAAACTCTTTTTCATTTACATACTTCAGAGCAGGCACTTCTTCTGTATTTATTTCTTTGAAAATAATTACATAATAATGTACTAACAATTTTTAATATATAAGGCATCCCCAAAAATGTATCCCCACACTCTGAATAATTATGAAGGCAATATTTATTAAAATTTTCAAAAGTGAGCTATCAGCTGCTAAAGTATGTATACATTTTGGGGGACACCCTGTATTTCTTTTTAATATTGTTTTTATCTCTGAATCATGTGCTATACAACAAAGCCTGCTAGGTGTAAGTTATGAGATTAGATGTTACAACTAGAGTCTTCTAAAGTATACATTAATTTAAACTTTTATTAGTCTAACTTTCTTAGCTTTAAAACATAAAAGAAAAACCAAGTCCAAACTTGTAAGAGGAAAAATATGGTATAACACAGGCAGCTGTAGTTGGCTGATTAATAAAGTTTCTGAGCATCTCTACAGAATATTATCTATGATAATTATCTCTCTCTCTCTCTCTCTCTCTCTCTCTCTCTCTCTCTCTCTCTCTCTCTCTCTCTTTCTCTCTCTCTCTCTCTCTCTCTCTCTCTCTCCAAAACAGACATCTCCAGTATACCCATAATGAAGATGTTCTGGGGTAGGCTACTGCTCATTTTGCTGGTTACTATCTTTTATTTATTTATTTATCTGAAAAATACTGTCTCCTGATATCACATTTGCTCAGACTCTGTACCATGAAGAACAACAGATAAATATAAACATACAAGACTGATCTATTACAATCATTGAAAGAAGTGACCAAAAGCAGCAATGACTGCCAGCCCAGATGCTCTAGTTCGGCTGGTGTTCCCTCACAGCTGCAGGAAAGATACAAAAATATCCCCAGGAGAGAGCTTCAGCTGACAGTAAGGAAAGTCAGTAGCCATTTTCTATTCAGGCAGCAACCATTAACATCTACCCAGCCAGTTGCCAATCAGTGGTCCTTGAGATCTGAAAGGTTGGAGACCACTGGTTTAAAGAAACCTTTGGAGCAGTCTCCTTTCCCACCCCAGCTGAGACCTGAATTTGCAGAGAACTCACACAACAGTTCCATGCCCAGAAATCGTGTGTTTTTCTATACTACCCCCAGGAAGTTAGTGAGCCTATTATCGTGAACACTGGCAATAGCTACAAAGTTCCTCTTTAGAACAGCCAAAGGAAATATATGTTTGTTTTCTTACCTTCTTTCTCTTCATCACACCAACACGAATTAGCCAGACCTCCAATACTTCATAGGATGTCAAAGAAGGTGGGAAACCTAATAATAGAAGCATTCCAATATTAAAAATATTGAAAACATGATCATAGAACCTGTCAAACACTAGTCCTAGCCAACTTCAACACTCCTTTCTCTTAAATATCTCCTCATAAGTTTTGGAAGTTGCCTTAAAATAGGTGTCCATGGCAGTAAGACATATTCATGAAAGCAGGAGGGAGTGGTATAGTGCCGGTTTCCTGTCAATCACAGTAGCAGTTTCTCCAGCTGCCATGAGATTTGTTCAATTATAAGGTTAGCACTTTTCTTAAATTCTTCATTAAATACAAACCCAAGATAGATCCATTATTCATTTGGCTTTTTTGATATAGCTCATATATAAATTAGTTGGAAAATAAAAAATAAGCAATGGATCCTTTGTATCAACACAAAAGTAGGCTTAAAACCTGTTATTGCTTTTTTATTTTTTTTTAGCCAGACTATATAGTGGCTTACCAAAAACTCCCCAAAAATATCAATATGAAATCTAAAGTTATGTCTCACATACATACTCCATGTTTTGGTCAAGATGTTTTTACATATGTAGATGAAGTATTTAAAATCAAAATACATATGTTCATATATAAGCAAATTCACTTAAAAGTTTGGTGAGTTATCTCAATTGGCTATAATATTTGAAGTTCAAAGGACATTTCATTTTAGCACATAAGATAGAAAGAACAGAACATTAACGGTGATAAGAAATTCATAATAGCTAGTTTTT